GATCATATTATGTACACCCATACCTATGCATGACACGACATTTATATGCACGTGTATGACATTATAAATGTTTCAGAACTTACAAAGTTATTCAGATTCACAGATGGATTTCTATATTCCATGTTTCATCTGTCTTATACGTACTGACTTTCATGCCTTACATACTCAGTACATTTTTCGTACTGATGCCCTATTTCACGGGCCTGCGTTTCATGCCCGCAGGTGCAGGTAGGCAAGCTGACGGTCCCCTTCTTAGGATCCTTGATCAGCGAGAGTTGGCGTGCTCCACTTGATCCGGAGCTTCTTTTGATTTTGGTACGATATGCTTGTATATATATATATGGATATGACGTGGCTCAGTCCCGTCTTTGTACAGTTGTATTTCTATTAGAGGTCTGTAGGCAGTTATGTACAGTTGGATAATATATGGCCTTGTCGACTTTCAGTTGATAATATGTCTATCGCGGCCTTGTCGGCACGCCCACTGTAATCCGAACGTATATGTATATATCTCTTTTGGAAAGGTTTTCCTCGTGCATGTTACTCTCGTAATTCAGCAGATATTATTCATGTTTATATCTTAGTCGAATACTTAAGGGTGTTCGACTGGTAGGACTCGGGCACTCGTCGCGGTCCATCGGTTTGGGTCGTGACAAAAGTGGTATCAGAGCAGTTTCTATCCTAGGGTTGTCTACAGACCGTTTCTAGTAGAGTCTTGTTTATGGGTGTGTTGTGCACCACACTTATAGACAAGAGGCTACAGGTCATATAGGATGTTATCTTCTCTTTTTATCTCAGATCGTGCGAGATAAGAATTCATGTTCCTAACAATATGTTACGTTTTCAACGATGCCTTCGAAGACTACAGCTGCCCAGAAGGGAAAGTCCATGGCTGGCGAGACTACTAGTCGAGCGCCACGAGTTACCAGGGCTGGGGGAGAGTCTCATAGTGAGATTCCATCTCAGACTTCACATACCCCGCCCTTTCCAGAAGGTCTCCGAGGGGCACTAGCTCCAGCGCCCGCCCCTGTATGTCCAGCTCCTCAGCTAGATGTAGTCTGGAGATGAGAGATGCTATTCTGCTATTAACCCGATTAGTAGCTGCACAGGCTCGACGTTAGGAAGTTGTATTGGTCATGTAGATAGGCCCGTCAGTGTGAGGGTTCGTGACTTCATTAATTTAGACCCTCCGATATTCTCTAGAGCAGATCCAAACAAAGACCATTAGGTATTTATTGATAGAGTGCAGAGCATGTTAAGGGTAATGAAGGCCACTGCGACTGAGTCAGTTGAGCTAGCTTCCTATAGACTCCGAGATGTTGCAGTTAATTGGTACGAGTCTTGGGAATTGTCCATAGGCGAGGATGCCCATCCAGCAGAATGGCAGGAGTTTACAAAAGCTTATCTTCATCATTATCTACCACCAGAGCTTAGATGGGCCAGAGTTGATAGGTTTTTGACCCTTCGGCAGGGTAACATGAGTGTTCGAGAGTATAGTCTTCCGTTTGATTCGTTGGCTAGGTATGCTCCTACTATTGTATCTAAGATGGAGGATCGGGTTCACCGGTTCGTGATGGGATTAGAGCCTTATTTTCTTAACGATTGTATGTCGGTCTCACTTTAGCTAGACATAGATATTTCTCGTATCCAGGCATACACTCAGTATGTAGAGGAGCGCAAGCAAAAACAGAGGGCCGATCGTAAGCATGATAGGGCCTAGAATAAGAGAGCAAGGTCTTCGGGTCATTCTGGTGAGTTTCGAGGTGGTTAGAGACAACAGTACCCGAGATATCCATCCCAGCCATCGACGAGCGCACCCCTTCAGTTTTGCGTTAAGAGATTTGATCGTTCCGCATATTCAGGGCGTGGTCAGAATTCCAGGGCCTCAGGTTCTCAGTATAGGGGTAAATCAAGTCAGATGAGGCCGCCCTTTCCACGATGTGCTCAGTGTGGTAAGCAGCATGCCGGGCAGTGCCGTATGGGACTGGGTATTTGTTATACTTGTGGTTATTCGGGCCACGTTATGAGGGATTGTCTGACGAGAGGTGATACAAGCATAGCTCAGCCAGCAGGATCTGTAGATGGTTCATCATCATCAGTACGCCCCCCTAGGCAAGGTTCACAAGCACCAGTGAGTCGCGGTAGAGGCAGAGGTGGAGCATCTAGCTCGAGCGGTCCTCAGAACCGCATTTATGCGTTAGCAGGACGACAAGATCAGGAGTCGTCGCCTGATGTTGTTACATATATATTATCAATCTCCTCATATGATGTATATGCCCTGATTGACCCAGGTTCCACCTTATCATATGTTGCTCCGTTGGTTGCTAGTAAGGTTGGAATAAAACCTGATTTGGTTAAACCTTTTGAGGTGTCTACACCTGTTGGCAGTGTTAGCTAAGCGAGCATATAGGGGTTGTATAATAGTAGTTCATGGTCGATCTACCGTAACAAACCTAATCGAGTTAGATATGATAGAATTTGATGTCATAATGGGTATGGATTGGTTAGCTTCTTATCATGCCAACGTTGATTGTAGATCAAAGATAGTCCGATTTCAATTTCCAGGGAAGCCTGTTTTGGAGTGGAAAGGTAATACGGCGTCGCCGAGAGGATGATTTATTTCCTATCTCAAGGTAAGGAAGATGATCAGAAAGGGTTGTATTTATCACTTAGTTCGGGTTCAGGATATGGAAGAGAGTCACCAACCATTCAGTCCATCCATGTGGTTAATGAGTTTCCCGATGTTTTTCCCGATGAGCTTCCAGGTCTTCTGCCAGAGCGAGAAATTGATTTTGATATTGACCTACTACCAGATACTCATCCAATATCTATTCCTCCATATAGAATGGTCCCCGCAGAGCTGAAAGAGTTAAAGGAAAAGCTAAAGGACTTGCTTGAAAAAGGCTTTATCAGGCCTAGTACATCACCCTGGGGGGCACCTGTGCTATTTGTGAGGAAGAAAGATGATTCCTTACGGATGTGTATTGATTATAGACAGTTGAATAAGGTGACGATCAAGAATAAGTACCTCCTCCTGAGGATTGACAATTTATTTGATCAGTTGCAAGGTGCCAAGTGTTTTTCAAAAGTAGACTTGAGGTCCGGGTACCATCAGGTAAGGGTTAAGGAGAAAGATATCTCGAAGACAGCACTCAGGACCATATACAGGCACTTTGAGTTTTGTGTTATGTCATTCGGTTTGACCAATGCCCCAGCAGTATTCATGGATTTGATGAATCGTGTGTTGAGGCCCTTTTTAGATCTTTTTGTAATTGTATTTATCGATGATATATTGCTGTATTCCCGTTCAGAGGCTGAGCATGCAGATCATCTGCGTACTGTGCTCAGAGTTCTACAAAAAGGGAAGTTGTATGAAAAATTCTTTAACTGTGAATTCTGGTTGAACTCTGTAGCTTTCTTGGGGCATATCATTTCGGGTGAAGGCATCCGGGTGGATATAAAAAAGATTGAGGCAGTAAAGACTTGGCCTAGACCCACAACACCGACGGAGGTTCGTAGCTTTCTCGGTTTGGCAGGCTATTACATGAGATTTGTAGAGGGATTTTCTTCCTTTTCAGCACCTTTGACAAAGTTGACTCAGAAGAGAGCAAAGTTTCAATTGACTGACGCTTGCGAATGGTGTTTTCAGGTATTAAAGGACAAATTAACTTCAGCACCATTTCTAACGCTCCCAGAAGGGATCTATGGTTATGTTATCTATTGTGACACCTCGGGCGTTCGGTTGGGTTATGTATTGATGCACCATGGTAAGTTTGTAGCTTATGCTTCTAGACAACTGAGAAAGCACGAGAAGAATTACCCGACCCACGATTTAGAATTAGCCACAGTGATTCATGCACTAAATATGTGGAAGCACTAATTGTATGGCATTCATGTTGATATCTATGCGGATCATAAGAGCCTTCAGTATATCTTCAGGCAAAAGGAATTGAATTTACGTCAATGAAGATGGTTGGAGCTACTTAATGACTATGATGTAGATATTTTATACCATCCGGGGAAGGCGAACGCGGTAGCCGACGCCCTCAGCCGTAGATTAATGGGTATCTTGTCATATTTACAGCCGGAAAAAGAGAGGAATAACCCATGAGATTCATCAGCTAGCTAGTCTTGGAGTTCGGTTACTGGACTCAGGTGATATTGGAATTACTATTCAAGATACGACAACATCCTCTTTAGTAATTAAAGTGAAGGAATGCAAGTACGAGGATCCTGTGTTATTTCTTTATAGGGATACCACCCCTCAAAAGGAGAAGACACCGTTTGAGGTTACAGAAGATTGGGTCCTTAATTATCGAGGACAATTATGTGTCCCTAATGTTGCAGGGTTGCGTCAGCAGGTTATGGGAGAAACTCACTATTCTCGTTATTCTATCCATCCACGAGCGACAAAGATGTATCATGATATCAGGGAATTATATTGGTGGGACGGAATGAAAAAGGATATAGCGGAGTTTGTTGCTCAGTGTCCTAACTGTCAGCAAGATAAGATTGAGCATCAGAAACCCGGTGGGTTATTGCAGGCTATGGAGATTCCGACTTGGAAATGGGGAGTAATCAATATGGGTTTCATCGTGGGCTTACCTCGTAGGCTTACCTCGTACCCAGGGTAAGTTCGATTCGATCTGGGTGATTGTTGATAGGCTTACAAAGTCAGCCCATTTTTTGCCGGTCAGAACTACATATTCCTCAGAGGATTATGCAAGGCTTTATATTAAGGAGATAGTACGACTGCATGGTGTCCCTGTATCTATTATCCCGGATAGAAGAGCTCAATTTACAGCTAACTTCTAGAGGTCCTTCCAAAATGGATTGGGGACTCAAGTAAGTCTTAGTACATCATTTCATCCCCAGACAGACGGACAGGCTGAGCGTACTATTCAGACACTGGAGGATATGTTATGAGCTTGTGTGATAGACTTTAAAGATAGCTGGGTTATTGAGCTTGCATATAGTAGTAGCTACCATCCAGTATTCAGATGGCTCCACACGAAGCTCTTTATGGACGGAAGTGTAGATCGCCTATATGGTGGTTCGATGTTGGGGAAGCTATGTTAGTAGGTCCAGAATTGGTACAACAGGCAATCGAGAAAATTAAGCTTATACAGGAAAGGCTATTAGCAGCTCAAAGCCGTCAGAAGTCTTATACGGATAATCGACAGCGAGACTTCGAATTTCAGGTTGACGATTGGGTATTCCTAAAGGTTCACCGATGAAAGGCGTTATGAGGTTCGGAAAATGGGGAAAACTTAGCCCTCGATACATTGGATTATATAGGATCATTCGCAAGGTAGGCCAGGTAGCATATGCGTTGGACTTGCCTTCGGACTTGGAATCTGTACATCCAGTATTTCATGTGTTTATGCTCCGTAAATGTATCGAAGATCCTTCCAGAATTGTGTCAGTTGACGACGTTCCGGTCACAGAGCAGCTATCATATGAAGAAACTCCCATTGCTATACCAGACAGACAGGTTCGGAGACTGAGAACTAAAGACGTAGCTTCGGTGAAAGTACTTTGGAGAACCAACAATGTGGAAGAAATGACTTGGGAGGCCGAGGAAGACATGAAGTCTATATATCCTTACTTATTTTCTCCTCAAGACAAGGGTCTAACTGAGACATCACAACCTTAAGGTACGTGTACAGATTCTTGTGTTAGTTATCGTCATTGGTCGTGTGAGGCCATTGTCGTTATTGATGATTATGGTCCTATGTGGCGCTGAATTATTAAGCTTCTCCAGGGAAAGTTGGTAGTACTGTTGTTACAAAGGCGACTCTGCCAAAGTTGTATAGATCCTGGAGAATTAAACATTCGAGGATGAATGTTTCTAAGGGAGGAAGGATGTTACATCTCGCGTTTTCATACGTTAAAGTTTCGTCTTCAGTTAATCGACGTAGGCTCGGGGATGAGATTATCTTAAGGTTAACATATTTATAACAAGCGATAAGCAAGTGTCAAGAAGGTAAAGGGTACACGAATTAAAGAAAATAAGTTTCGCTGAAGGTTGCCGATTTACGATAAAATACGGGTCGAGCGATAATACCCGATATTTATGGACTAGTACCATACAAGGTACCATATGGCCACGATAGTATGATGAATAAAGTATATTAAAAATGAGTAGTATTTTAAGTAGTCGAGATAATTTGTAATTACGCGGGTAAGTGGTTAATTATTAGGTAACGAGACATTACCTACTTAATTAATAAATTATGACATAAGAATAACCCAAAAAAATAACGTGGCAGCACCACCAACCAAACAAAATGAGTAAGAGTCAAATTGGCTTAGGTGGCGACATGCCATAATACATTCAAGACACTCCAACTTTTTACACTCGTATACAATCAAAATATTAGCATCTTAACATAAAAAAAAACGTTAGCATTTTCAAGCTTCCAACAAAGCTTCATTTTTCTTGTCTTGAAAACAAATACACCAACAACGTTACAATTCATGCTCCTACAAGACATTAGCAAGAAGACTTCTTGCAATCAAATTCTCCTACAAGAATGTTATACGGATTTTTCCCTACTCCAGGTATGTTAAGGCTATCCCTTCTTTCTTTTTGGCATGATTCAAATTATACAAAAGAAACGAGCAAACACATAGTTTTAATGAACGACTATATCCATAGAAATACTACGGGTCTCTGTGTTCTTGATTCCCCATGTGACATATTATTATATCTTCTGTTCATGGGTCTTAGAATAATGCGCAGTTGAAAAAGTTTATCCGGAAGGAATATTGAGATTATTACATATTTCTTTTTCATGCATTTCATTCATTTATACATGTGCATTGACCCATGATCAAATGGCGTTGTATACGCGTATTTATATGTGTGTGTGTGTGTGTGTGTGTGTGTGTGTGTGTATATATATATATATATGTATATGGGATACGGGAAAAAGGTTACGGTATTATATATGCATTACCACCTGATCAGTTGGTATATGTTGATGATATTGTCCACAGTGGCCGAGACGATATGATGGGATGCCCTTAGAGGCTTGATGATATTATGTACATCCATACCTATGCATGACACGACATTTATATGCACGTGCATGACATTACAAATGTTTCATAATTTACAAAGTTATTCAGATTTACAGATGGATTTCTTTATTCAATGTTTCATCTATGTCTTTTACATACTGACTTTCATGCCTTACATACTCAGTACATTTTTTGTACCGACGCCCTATTTCATGGGGCCTGTGTTTCATACCCACAGGTGCAGGTAGGAAAGCTGACGGTCACCTTTCTTAGGATCCTTGATCAGCGAGAGTTGGCGTGCTCCACTTGATCCGGAGCTGCTTTTAATTTTGGTACGATATGCTTATATATATATATATATATATATATATATATATATATATATATATATATATATATATATATATATATAGATGGGTATGACTTGGCTTAGTCCCGTCTTTGTGCTGTTGTATTTCTATTAGAGGTCTGTAGACAGTTATGTATAGTTGAATAGTATGTGGCCTTGTCGGCTTTCAGTTACGGGTATATAGTCGTCTATCGCGGCCTTGTCGGCATGCCCATTGTAATCCCCACGTGTATGTATATATGTCTTTTGGACAGGTTTCCTCGTGCATGCTACTCTCGTAATTCAGACGATATTATTCATGTTTATATCTTAGTCGCATACTTAAGGGTGTTCGATAGGTAGGACTCGGGCACTCGTCGCGGCCCATCAGTTTGGGTCGTGACACAAAGTTCTGTGGGATATGGTATTTTATGTTAGATCCATGTGTCTTGGTTCTACTATGTGTGATGGGTTCCTTGCATTGCGCTTGTGGTGGTATCTGTTGAACTTGCGGGACGGTTCTTTCATTTGAGTCATTTTCCATTTTTTTGGTGCATTTGAGTTGTTGCTTATTGGTGCACGGATTTCACGGTTTGTGGCTTTAGGTTGTACTGGTGTAGCATGTCAGTGGGCACCTTTTTTTTATGAGATGAGGTCATTAGACCTAGAATGAGTGCTATCGGATTTGATTACGGTAGATTTGGAAGAATAATGTGACTAATCATCATAGAATTTGGCTATGGGTCTTGTTCGGTGAGAGAACACCACGACTTGTTAATCTGATGAGTGGTTATAAGTTCCTGCGTGTTTCTTACGAAGGGTTAGAGCAATATTTCATTTGATATGAGGTATGTTACCTGCACCGAGTTTATTACTTAGCAGCTATTATGATTAGAAGTTATTGCTACGAGTATCTAAGTAATGTGGGGAATTAGGCCATGAGCAAATCATGCCGAGGTCGTACGACCTGATCTAGTATAATATTTAAACTGTGCACTATAGAGGATCGAACATCATGAACCATAGTTGTATCTAATTACACCGCTCGCAAATCATACATGCGACACGGTCAAATATAAATTTAAGGAATTACCCCGCCCGCGGATTATACTTGTGACGCGTTCAAATATAAATTTATCATTAAATCATAACCCGTTCTTGATTATATTCAAAATAAACACAATTCAGCGTGAAGCTTTTAAATACTTAAAAATTCTCAACTTAATTCCATTTGGTACAATTAACAAATACAATCAAGTAACATTGTCCACAGAGCATGGTGTAAACCTAAAACTACCCGGACTTAAATAGGAATAGTAGCTACGTACGAACTCTCGTCACCTCGTGCGTATGTAGCCCCACAAATAGAAGCAAATATTGAATTATTTCACCTATGGGGTAAATTCCCTCTTACAAGGTTAGAAAGGAGACTTACCTCGCTCTGGAGTTCCATATTCAGCTCCCAAGCCCTTCAGACGACTCAAACTGATGCCCAACGCTCCAAAACTAGTCAAACAACGTGCAAACCCATAAAAATATACTCTAATACTCACAACAATTCGATTTAAACAAATTCCCAACTCCGCTCGAAAAGTTGATAAAATCACCCTCGGGCCCACGTGCCCGGATTTCGAAAATTTTCAAAGATAATTTACCCGTACATTACGAACTCAAATATACCCTTTATTCCAAATTCCATTTTCCATACTCGTGGTTAAAATCCAAAAATACATATTTTTAGGTTTTCTACCATAGTCCCAAATTTCCACAAACTTTACATGTATAAATCTATATACAAGCCATGTATTTAACTCACTATGTGCGGGAATTACTTACCTCATAATAGATGATGAAATCCCCTCTTCAAAGGCTCCAAAAATCGCCCAACCAAAGTGAAAATGGAATAAAATGGGCCAAATCCCCGCTTTAATGAAAACTCATTGCCCAGCGATCCTCGCACCTGCGGTCACTTGACCGCTTCTGCAGTTTTGCAGGTGTGTCCAAGAATACCGCTTTTGCGGTCCTCCATCTGTCCACTAAACCCCGCATCTGTGGCCCCTAACGTTGCTTCTGCGCCTTTGTTTCTACGATCCCACGTGCGTAGGTGCAGTCCCGCTTCTGCAGAAGTTGACCGCATCTGCGGTCCTAGCCTTCCCCAGCCAAAGCCGCTTTTGTGACCTTCATGGCCGCTTCTGTAGCTCCGCACCTGCGGCCCAAACCTCGCAGGTGCAGTTACACCAGAAGGCATATGCTCCAGCCGTTCTTCCAAGTCCAAACTCAATCCATTTACCATCTTGATTCCTCTTGAGGCCCTTGGGACCTCAACTAATGTCCGGGAGACTCACATCCAGTTGTTGAGGCTCAAGTTGTTGTGGCTGTCTGCATCCAGTTGTTGAGGCTCGCCAATGTCCGGGAGACTTGCATCGCAGAAAGTGGGGCAGTTGGCATGGGCACCGACTTTAAAACCGAAGTAGAAGCTGTGGCAGGAGCTACAGAAGGGACTGAAGATGATGGTGGAGGCATAGCTGCGGCACTAGGAGCAAGCTCGGCTGAAGTGGATAGAACATCAACTGCCTCCGCCACTACCACGGCTGGCTCATCAGACTGGCCTGTGGTGGTTGACTCCTGACCTTTTCTCTTCAGGTTGTTCGCATCCATCAGTAAGTACCAAGAGAAAGGTTTCTTCGGCTTAACCTGTGTGTCATAATCCCTCGGCTCTACCCTTGCATCCGTGAGATATTCTGTAATAGTGATGGGATATGGGTAAGATGAGTCATCTTGCCGAGAAATCACTGAGATGTTGGCCTACATCACGACACCCACATTGATTGGGTACCGTCCATGATAGAAGCAACCAGAACCACCCGAGGGATCAGAAGATAAGTCTCATTCTGGCATGGGTCCAATATGCTTTCAGACAAAGGCTTGCCACCCTTTGGCCTCGAAATTGATAGTGCTCTTGTGTATAGGAACCCCAACGACAATCCGTGGTGGTGGTGGCCCAGGTGCTGCTAGAATCTCCACTAACCAAGGTCGGGATGCATCCCCCATTTCATGCTTCTCCAGATATTCCTTTGGTTCGACAACTTTGAAACCTAAGTATGTGTTGAGTGTATGCTGATCAAATCTTACTTTGAGGCTACGCACTTTGGTTACCTTTGTCCCCTTTTTGATATGCGTCACATGGCGTAGAATTCACGGACAAGGTATTATTTGGCATCCACCACACTCTGGGTGAACCACATCCACCCCTTTCATTCCTTGAACTGTCTCAACACTGCTAGGTTATAATTCTCTTCATCTTCAACTAAAACTGTCGCTCAAGAGTATGCTACCTCACTGGCCACCAAGTACGAAAGCTGGTGAAAGCGGCCAAGCTGACAAGCTGTTCCTCCCAGACCTCTTTCTTCTTCGATCTTTCAAGGCCGATAGTTATGGCATCTCCCCCTCTGCCATCATCGGGGATGTCCTAAATTGATGTATCTGATGCATCAGGTACAAGTGTAGTGAATGGCTCAGAAGTGTGACTAGGACTTTTCGAAGCTTGGAAATGCTACGAGATGAGGTCGACTCGTCCCTGAGTTGATATCTCCCTGGCGGCCTTGACTATACAGCCAAATGTTCTTGAACAGAGGCTGAGTTTCCCTCTGATGTTTCCCTAGATGGGACATAAGAGCTCGTTTCAGAGAGATTTGCATCTCTCCCCCTGTCGGCTGTAGGTTTCTTTGTTATTGTCCTTTGTTGGCCGAGGTATAAGGCACTCTTGCCTCGACCCCTAGAAGTGTCACCTCTGCCTCTAGATCGAACCATTCTCTATATCAAGCAAAGGCGATTGTTAGTTGCAATTCAAGTTCAGACATATAATGATATATACAAGTATACAACAAAAAACACAGTGAGGTTCACAGTTGAAACATGCGTGCAGGATAAGGATCTGCGATCTGTACAATTTCTATTGTGGCCGTAGATGAGGCCTTGGGACCATAGATTTGTGTTTTGCGACCGCAAGAGTGAAGTGCGGTCTGCACAATTTCACTTGCGACTGCAACTTAGAAACCCAAAATATGCCAACTCTCTGATGACAGAGAATTGGCTGATGTGCGGCCGTAACATGATTTCTGTTGTTCGCACAATTAGACTTGCAGCCGCACATTTGAGTCACAAAGTGTAGACTCTCTGATGATAGTAAATGGGTTGTTCTGCAGCCACAACAGGAATTGTGCGGTCCGCACATTTTACATTCCGACTGTAGACCCCTTTTTCATTAATGATGCCCTAGAATCTATTTCTGCGGACCGCACAATTAGACCTGCGGCCGCAGAATTCAATAACTTTGAACAGTTCAGTTGGGTCATTCTAGGTTTTGCAATTTTCGTGCACAATTCGACATGATAACATCATAGCGGCATGAATATGTGTTGACTCAATATCCAATAAGCAGGTATTAGTTAACCCACTACAGATGTACCCCCACATGAATGCACAATTGAGTGCTACTGACAAATGGCCTAAAAATAACTAAAAGGCTACAATAACTAACAAAATGAAAAAGTCTAACAAGGAATTCAAGCATACTAGATGTTAATGAGTGCAAGGAATGAGTGATCAAAATTGTTAGTCGTGCGGGCAGATGATTCACCAAGAAATTTCAATGTAGTGCAAGTTTTGTGCTTAGAGAGGGAAAGCTGTAACAGTTGCTCTAGCCCTCTATTTATACTATTGGTTTTCTAAGGGAAGGAGGGGTGAGTGCGGTTGCACAATTTCATGTGCAGTCTGCCTCTGTTACCCGGTGAGCTTAAGTTGCCCTTTTGTATGTGGTCGACAAAATTTTTGTGCTGTCGCAGATTCCATGTTATGACCGCATATTTCCTTTTGCGGCCGTAGATTGGCATTTTCTCTGATAGGCCAAACTTTAGAGAGTTGACATTTTCCATCTTTCATTTGTGCAGTCCGCAAGATAATTGTGCGGTCGCAGTGTGCTTTAGGAGCAACAACTATAAATGTGCGGTCTGCAAAATTTAACTGCAGTCTGCAATTCTTGCACTACTTAACCATATTTCTGTCCACAATTTCTGTAAGTCACACTCACCCCTGTGGCACACTTCAAATAAATTTAGCAAAAAAAAAAAAAATAACACCTAACCACAAAATAAAAAAAAGAAAAGAAACATTGGTTGCCTCCCAAGAAGCGCCAAATTTAACATCGCTTCACGACGCAGAATACCATCAATTTAAATGAATGACCGCCACGGCGTGGCTATCTCCAAATTTTCCACAATAGTGCTTCACCCGGTGGCCATTGACTCGGAATACTTCATTATTTTTCTTCTTCAAGTCTAATAAACCAAAAGGTGTCACACCCACAATTTCAAAAGGACCACTCCATTTAGACTTTAATTTCCCGGAAAACATCCTCAACCTTGAGTTAATCAACAATACAAGATCGCCCACCTTGAACTCTTTGTTCTAAATGTATTTTTCATGAAGATATTTCATCTTTTCTTTATACAAGGACGAACTTGCATAAGCATGATAACGGAACTCATTCAATTAATTCAAATGTACAACCCTCAAGTTAGCAGCTACATCCCAATCAAGATTCAACTTCTTTAGAGCCCAC